ATGCGGACGTATGCATGCATGTATGCATGTGTGTCTGTCTGTCTGCCTGTATGCCTGTGTGTATGTATGTATGCATGCGTGTATGTTTGTCCGTCTGTCTGTCTGTCTGCCTGTCTGCATGTATGTATGTATGTATGTATGTATGTATGTATGTATGCTGCCCGCCCCCCGCCGCGGCAGGCCGCCCGAGTGAATGAGCGTCGGTCTCCTTTCGGCGGCGAGCGAGGGGGGGAAGTGAGAAGAAGAAGGCCTTCTCAGAAGGCGGCGGGACTTCTCAGAAGCCCTCGCGCCGTCTGGGAAGTTTTTTTTTTGTCTTCGGGGAAGGCTTACAAAGCTTCTTAGAAGGCCGGGGCACTTCCGAGCCTTCTGAGAAGGCCCGCCCCTTCTCACTTCCCCCGGGCGCGCCGCCGATCCTTGAAAGGAGCGGGCCTTGGGGAAGGCAGGCGCACCTCGCTCGCACCCACCCCATACAATCAAGCAGTGGTGAAGCGCTCCGGCTTGCCTACAGGCCCACCGAATAGTGTTCTGCAAACCTTTTGTGGTCTGCACGAGCCGTTATCAGAATTTCACGAGACGGTCTTGTTTTAACATATCGGGTTTCTGTTCCAAGAACACTGCTTGGATCTTCGAACATTTGGGTTCCAAGAACATGTCGTGGTAGGCCTATAGATATCCATAGGAATGCTGGGACGGTCGGCCCCCGCTCAACGCACACCTGGCCCCCCTCCCCGGGGATCTCAGGACTCGGCGCTCGACGTTCGATCCAACTTGCCCCGCCGCTGGCCCCCGTTCTGCACAGCAGGGGCAGCGGGGTGCGGACCAAAGAACGCGAGGCTCCGGAGGCCAGAAGTGTGTTGTCCGTGCCGCCGCTCCGGCTCCTCGCGGCGTCGGGGCGTGGGCAGGGGCACGGATCAAAAGTCGATCGCCCAGGTAATTACGGTGGAGGGCCAGTACCAGGAGACACCTTGCTCGCCTCCAGGGTGCCCTGGGTTTCTTCGGCTTCGATGGTTTTGCGACGGAACGCGTGACGTTTCCATGCCAAAAAACGATGGACGCCCTGGGGGGTCTCAGGGTTGATTTTTTGGTGGGCGGTTTCTTGTGGGCCCCCACTGTACACAAACATGAACTTTTGGAGCTCCTCGCGGATTCCTCGGATCGGTGCTGGAGCCCCCTGGCGGCGGCCACTTCGCCAGCGCGCTCCGCGCGCCAAGGGGGGGGGGGGGGGCAGCGCCGACCCAAGAGATCCGCTCGGACTTCCGCAAGTTTCTGTTGATGTGGTTGTTTGTTCCTCTGCCGGGGCTGTGCCAAAGAGCTGCGTCTCCCGATCGCGGGGACGCCTCCCAGAACAGACGCAAAACGTGTGCCCCACCCCCACCTGGGCTTCACCATCGCCCCCCTCTAGGGAGGCGGAGCCAGGTGGGGGTTCCCTGTTGCTCCCCCATGGGTCCCAGGCCTCTGGGCTTTCCTCGTGACCGGCTTTCCACCCCAGGCCCCAAGCCGTCAGACAGCAAGGCGGGACGAAAGACGGGTCCAGGCGAAGAAGGGGCCAGGAGATCGCCATGAAGGAAAGGGATCTTGAGGGAAGCGGGTCCTTTGGATCCTGGGTTTTCCCTGGAGTGTTCTTTTTCACGGCCCCAGGGTCCGTAGAGGGCCCCGGGAAATCGAGAACGCTACCCGTTTCCTCCAGGAACCGTGCTCATGGCGCGCATAAGGAGGGGGTGGCGCGAGTGCAGCCCTTTGAGAAAGCGGGGGGAGCCTTCTTAGAAAGCGGGGGCCTTCTTCGAAGAGCCTGGAAGATTCTGTAGCCACTTAGGCTCAAGCGGACGGCGGGCGCCCCGGGCCGCCCCCGCGGGCGCCGCAGACGATGCGCCGCCGCCGCCGTCCGCCGCGGCCCGCGGCGCTGGCGCTGCTGGGGGCCGCGCCGCTGCTCGCACTGCTGCCGCCGCTCTCTGCCCCAGGGGTGTCGGATGGCACCCTGGCGACGGCCGCCGGGGCCGCGCGCTGGGGCCTCACCGCCAGGCCGCGCCGCCGGCGCGCGGCGGTGCTGCGGCGGTTCTTCTTCGAGGCGCTGGAGTCCGCGGAGGCGCAGCTCGCGCGCGCCGCCCGCGCCGGCGACGCGCAGAGGGTGCAGGAGCTCCTCTCGCAGGGGGCGCGGATCGACGAGCCTTCCGGCCAGTCGAAGGCCACCCCGCTGATCGGCGCGGCCGCGAACGGGCATGCCGCGGTGGTGGAGCTGCTGCTGGACGCGGGCGCCGATGCCGAGGTCGGGCTGGAGTCGGACGGGCCGCTCCGCCCGGGCGGCGCCACCGCCCTCTTCATCGCCGCGCAGCAGGGCCACGCGCAGGTGGTGGAGCTGCTCCTGCGGCGGGGCGCCGTGGCGGACGCGGCCAGAGGTGATGGTCTGACGCCCCTGGACATTGCGAAGAAGAAGGGCAACGAGGCGGTCGTCGGGTTGTTGGAGGGGCGTGCGGCGCCCGAGCGTTGAGGTCGCGGGGCGGCCGAAAAGTCGCCGCGGTCACTACCTCGAGCGTCGCCAGTGGCAGCCTCTTTGTGGGAGAAAGCATGTGCGTTCGCCGCTCGCGACTGCAGGCGCCGCCCCCTCCCCCTCCCACCACACACACACACCACACCACACCACATCACACCACATCACACGACACCACACCACATCACAGCACAATGCAACATAACACAACGCAACACCACACAACACAACACACCACACCACACCACGCCACACCACACCACACCACACCACACCACACAAAGGCACACACGCATGACACAACAGATACCGAAGAGCCTGGAGGCTCCCAAGAAGGTATCGGAAAAGCCTCGAGGGATTCAAAGACGCTATACCTCGTTTAGGAAGCCCCGCCACCTTCTTAGAAGGCGGCCCCCCTCGCGCCACCCCCTTCGTTGTGCGCGCCGCCAGCCACATATCCTCGGGTACGTTCTGACGCCACATATTTTGCACCAGTGTATTGCGCCGCCAAGATTGCTTCACATATATTGCCACACAGCTTGCCACACATATAACGACTACTGCACAATAGAGAATGCTAGAACACATTGTGTGGCGTCCACGCTGGCCAATCTTATATATATATATATATATATGTGTATAAAGATATGCATATTCGTACATTTTCGTATGCATATATGTATATGTATATATATATATATATATATATATATATATATATATATATTTATATATACATACACATTTACAAGGTCTGGGACCCCCCTCGGCCCCCCCACCGAACGCATTCCGACCACCCCGGGCGCCCAGTACCGCCCCACAGAGATGCAATATGGTTCCAAGACGGCCCAGCAGAGCTCCGAGCCGGCTTCATATGGTTCCACGACAGTTCGAGAGACCCTTAAAACGCCCAAGAAGGCCCCCAAGTCGTTCCAAGACGATCCAAGAGGCTCCCCCAAGACGCCTTGAAGAGCTCCAGCACGGTTCAAGACGGCCCCAAGAGGCTCCCCCAAAAAGCTCAATGACAACCCCAAGAAGCCCCCGGTTGAGTTTCACGACGGTCAGAGCCTCCCGAGATAGCTCAAAAGGGCCCCACGAGGGTCCAGAAGGGCCTTTAAGAAAACCCAGAAGCGCCCAATAAACAGGAGTCGCCTCCCACTCCGTCCGTGCTTCTCCCTTCTGTGTTCACGACTGCTCCAGAAGCAGGGACCCCAAGGGGTCGACAGATTCGGACTCAGTAGATGGACACCATACACATGCGATAGGTTCAATTCTTCACTTGGGGTTGTGTCTGGTGTCCCTATCACGCGAATAGCTTTGCATCCTTATTATGTACAAACAAACTCACGTGTTCATGATGTTTCACCGGGTTATCCCACAAGTGGTGTTGTCTGAATCTTCTCTCGGAAGATGATATGTAGTTCTTCATTTGCAACTTCCCATGCCTATGTGATTGCCTTCGGGCAGTCAGACTTTTCGCACCTTGCGTAGCGTGCCTTAAAAGGCGAGGTTCAGGACTGCGCCCAGGGAAGCGCTGAAGGAGCAACAACAAGCTTCCAGTACAACCCAACAAGCGCGCAAACACCTCCAGAAATCCCCAAAAAGCTCTCGCGATATTCCCAGAAAGTCCTCCAGGGAGGAGGCCGCGAAATAACATTTGAAAGTGGTAACATGGACGCGTTCGCAAACGCCGAATACAAAATGAAGAGTAAACGTGAGGGACAGATGATATACGACCGATGCGTAACAACGATGGGGCTCACGGATGCAAGGATCCTTCGTTTTTTGGTGTTGTGTTGTTTTTGTTCCTCGTTGTTGTTCTCTCTCTCTCTCTCTTCCCCCTCTGTCTCTCGCTCCCACGCCCCGCCTGCCGCCTGCGTTCCGATCATGAAGGGCCGAGGTGCACGGCGCGAAGCGCCAATCCATCTTGGTATACATATGCATCCATACATGCATGCATAATTGCACACATGCATTCATTCATTCATTCATTCATTCATTCATTCATTCATTCATTCATTCATTCATTCATTCATTCGTTCATACATATAAGCATGCATGCATGCATGCATGCATATATACACATACATAAATACGTACTTGCATGCATTCATTCATCTATATAGGTGTGTGTGTGTGCGTGTGTGTACGTTAGCCAACGTGGACCCCGCAACGTGAGTTGTTGAATACTTGCGAGGTGCATTCCAGGAGGTGAAATCGAGGCGGTGCAACCTGCGTGGCGCAAAGCTATGCAAAGCCACTGCGAGGCCATGCGACCCCATGCAACGCAGCGCAAAACCAGGCAGCGCGCCGCACAGCAGCACGGTGCACCTTCCGTGCGATAGCAGTGCGGCACGAGGCGGCTGCGACGGCGAAGCGCTGCCGTGCGCTCGCAGTGCCAATGCCATAGCAGTGCCACGGCTGGCGGGTGTCAGCCAGGGCGGCGGCGACGGGCGGGAACGGGGCCGCCGGGGCCGCGTACGGGCTGTGCACGCGGAAAGACTTGGCATCGCCCGGAGGAGGAGGGAGAGGAGGAGGAGGAGGAGGAGGAGGAGGAGGAGGAGGAGGAGAGGAGGAGGAGGAGGAGGGAGGGAGGAGGAGGAGGAGAGGAGAGGAGGAGAGAGGAGGAGGAGGAGGAGGAGGGAGGAGGAGGAGGAGGAGGAGGAGGAGGAGGAGGAGGAGGAGAGGAGGAGGAGGAGGAGGAGGAGGAGGAGGAGGAGGAGAGGAGGAGGAGGAGGAGGAGGGAGGAGGAGGAGGAGGAGGAGGAGGAGGAGGAGGAGGAGGAGGAGGAGGAGGAGGAGGAGGAGGAGGAGGAGGAGCAGGAGCAGGAGCAGGAGCAGGAGGAAGAGTAGGAGGAACGGAAACGGGGACGAGTGCTTGGCATCGCCCGGACGTGTGCATGGTTTCTCGGCGAGAGCCATCGAGGACCACCCTGGACCATCGAGCAAAACACAAATCACGCGCGAAGCCGACGCATGCACGGGAAACGGACGTCCGAGCGACGGCAGGAAGACGGTTTCGGCGACGGACGGGGGCGGGGCAGCTGGGGCCGCACACGGGCCCACCTCCTTCGACGAGAAGCAAACCACCTTCAGTGCGAGCGCTGTCTTCGGAGTGTGCGCACGTGCACGCCACGTCCTGGCATCGCTCGGACGTGTGCATGTTTTCCGCGGCGGGGACCATCGAGGAACATCCTGGACATCGTGCGAAAAATACACGCACGAAACCGAACAGTGCACGTGGAATGGACGTCCGAGCGATGGCGAGACTTCGCTTGGTCGGCCGTGGAGCCGAGGAGTTCGGCGAAGGAGTCTGGTGTGCGGACGCTCCAGCGTCACACAGGTTGGGAGGCTGTGGCGTCTATACATCAAGCTTCTTGGCCGACCAGGCGACTTGGTCGATGCCTTCCCGAGTTCGATCCTCCCAAGCGCGATTCTTCGAGCACCCCAATCCTCCGATCCCCGTGCGCGCCCTGACCTGCAACGATCTTGCGAGCCCTTCGATTGGCGCATGCTTCTCGGAGGAAGGAGAAGCGATGCCGCCATCGCCACGGAGGCCGCCCCTGGCGAGGGGGTCCAGGATGCCTCCCAGAGCTTGGTATACATAGTGTCTCGAGCAAGAGGGGGAGACCACACCAACAGAAACCCCTCCCTGGCGCCTCGCACTGGTTGTGGCGGTGTCGCCTCACCTTGCTCCTGCGCTTCGAGCTTTTCCCAGCCCCGACCCTCCCTGGTCAACTTCGATCCGATCGGTCCAATTAATGTACATATTCCTCTTCCTATATTTTTACAAGCCCGTGGGGGGGGGGAAAACCATCCCCACCCCCAAACTGGACCCCCGGGATCTGGGGTTCTCGGGCTCCCTTGGACGTCCTTGGAAAAGGTCACCCGGCTTTCCGGGTCTCCACAAACGCCTTGCCAGCAGACCAAGAGCGATCCGAGGGGTCATCAGAAAGGCTCAAGGGAGGCCCCAGACAGCACAAGAGCGCTCCAAGAGGGACTCCAATTGCGTCAGGACGGCCCAAAAGACCCTCAAGGCACCCCAAAAGGTTTCCAAGGGGCCTTCAAAGCACAAAAATCGCCCCATTCCCTTTGTAGAACTTACAACTCTAGCATATTCGCCTTTCGGATTTTATCAGCTTTCAAGACGGTTTCAAAGCCCCCGAGATCGCCTCCAGACGCCCCAAAAGGCCCCCAAGAAAGCTTCAAGACGGCCGAGCCGGGCCCCACGATCGCCCACGAGAGCCCCAAGACAGCCCATAATGGAACCAAGAGGCCCCCCAAGGGCTCCCAGCACAGACCCAAAAGGGCCATGGGAGGTCCCCGGAAGTGCCCAAGATGGGTCCAAAGGGGGCTCCAGCGGGCCCAAGCTCCCCAAGACGGCCCAAGAAGGCCCCAGGACGGCCCATGAAGGCGCCAAAACGGCCCACGAGGGCCCCGAAAACACCCCCACGATGTTTCCGAATGCCAACATAAAGACCCCCAAGGCACCCCAAAAAGCTTTCCAAGGGGCCTTCAAAACACAAAAATCGTCCCATTCCCTTTCGTAAAACTTACAATTTCAGCATATTCGCCTTTCGGATTTCATCAGCTTTCAAGACGGTTTCAAAGCCCCCGAGATCGCCTCCAGACGCCCCAAAAGGCCCCCAAGAAAGCTTCAAGACGGCCGAGCCGGGCCCCACGATCGCCCACGAGAGCCCCAAGACAGCCCACAATGGAACCAAGAGGCCCCCCAAGGGCTCCCAGCACAGACCCAAAAGGGCCATGGGAGGTCCCCGGAAGTGCCCAAGATGGGTCCAAAGGGGGCTCCAGCGGGCCCAAGCTCCCCAAGACGGCCCAAGAAGGCCCCAGGACGGCCCATGAAGGCGCCAAAACGGCCCACGAGGGCCCCGAAAACACCCCCACGATGTTTCCGAATGCCAACATAAGACCCCCAAGGCACCCCAACAAGCTTTCCAAGGGCCTTCAAAGCACAAAAGTCGTCCCATTCCCTTTGTAAAACTTACAATTTTAGCATATTCGCCTTTCGGATTTTATCAGCTTTCAAGACGGTTTCAAAGCCCCCGAGATCGCCTCCAGACGCCCCAAAAGGCCCCCAAGAAAGCTTCAAGACGGCCGAGCCGGGCCCCACGATCGCCCACGAGAGCCCCAAGACAGCCCATAAT